AATTGTACACCTATCATACCCACCCTTGCCCCTATTTCATTCTAATTTTGTACACTTGTTTTTATTGTGACATCAAATCTATGGTGTTTAATATGGAAAGAGATATACTAACGTCAATATATAATGGCATCATCATAAATAATACTACTAATGTGTTTCACATATAAATTCGCCTCTAAAATCCAAATATATAAAGTCTCACATTATTATTTGTATTTGAAATTATATTCCCTCCGTCCATAAATTTACTTAGCTTTCTTGTTGAACTATGTCGATGATTTTAGTGTCATTAGTGATTTTATGCAATTAGATTTATTTAGATCAGACAATAATTTAAATACATGTTAAACGAGTTAGGAAATACGAATTGCACTTGTTCAATAATATTAGAAATTAATAACGGTGTCCAAGAAACAGAGTCCCTCGTTGGGGTCGAGCATATCTATTTTGGAAATTTGTTATTTTGTACATTATCACTTTATGAAAATTCTTTGAAATTTCACAAGCAAGAGTCCAAAACGACTAGCATCCGAGCATATGGATAGTCCAAAATGTTCCAAAACAACCGCGTCATAAAAAAAATCTCAAATCTGCAATGTTTTTTAGTAACTCGGATGTTCCAAAAAAGTTTCATTTTTATAATTTTTTATTTTTTTTGATTTGTATTTTTCACTCTCCTCAATAATACTCTCAGACATAATTTCACTTTTCTTAAATTTTAGGTCAACTAAGAACTTTATAATTTGGGATGGAGAGAGTTAGTGAATTTAATACTTCTTAGATAGTATCCCACTATCCCCATTAATAAAGTTAGAAAAAATTAATGGGTATAAGCTTTAACTGATTGAAAAAATTTAAAAGAATCTAAAAGATTTTTAAGCTCCATAGTTTAACTAATTAATCGATCAATTGGATTTGACTTATGATTATTTATGATCCAATTAGGTCATTCTTATCTCATCCAAAATTCTATCGATACTAATACAAATGGTGTTTCCAAACAAACCCACAATTTTAAAATTCTTTTAAAATCTTGGAAAGCAACAAAACATCCTTTCTAGTGATTCTTTTACAAATATTAAATTAATATTACGTTCATGCATGCAATCAATTAAGAATCTCTTCATTAACTCAATAAGTGTTGACTATGTACTATTGTACTCCCCTGCCTTTTTCCCACAACAAGCTTAATTCTCACTCGGAGTTTCAGAAATTTATAAAAAAATATTAAAAAAATAAAAAACATATCATTAAAATTGTTTAAGAGGAATAAAGAAATTTTTATAACCACAAATTCTTTACTTTAGAATGAAATTGATTTTTTTAGAGGGATGGAAAATAAAATAGAGAATTTTTTAAGAGTTTTTTTTACATTACTTATCTCTCAAATTTTCAAAAATTACACGAATTTCCACTAAACTTTAAAAATTACACCAATGTCCCATGAACTTTTAAAAATATTGCACCAATGGATGGTCTCTCTATGCAAAATTTGGGAGTATAAATAAATCATACGTTATGTCGTTATCTAGTACAAGTATAAATTCATCTAAAGTCATATATCACACGTGAGTCCAGTAATTTGCTTTTACCAAACGTCATCTTCTACGGAGTATTATTTAAACCTCTTTAAACCCTAGATAATTAAGTATTCTCGATTTAGTAACCAATCCGAAGCCCGGACATCAATCAATAAAGCTTGTGATCAACAATCTACTTATTCATCAATCCATGACATCTTCATATATCAAGCTCCAACATGTATATTGATGGGCATGTGATTAACGCACTCCAAAACCTGGCGTGGAGCGACCATTGATGCAACATTTTTAAAAGTTCAGGGGTACTGGTGCAACATTTTTAAAAGTTTAGGAGGGGTAATGGTGTAACATTTTTGAAAGTTTAGGGGATATTGGTTTAATTTTTAAAGTTCACGGAAAATCTGCTTAATTTTAATTTGGAAAGTTCAGGAGTAAACACCGCGAAAAAATCTCTCTTTTTTTTTAAAAATTTTTTTATATTGAACCAAATGAATATATAGATACGTGGCCATGTAGGTGCCCACAAATATGTCCATCACTTAATTTTTTCACATTGTATGTACTGGCGCAACTATATGTGTTTGCCTCTTCAATATGCCAAATGCACGCACGTAATTTTTTTTCGACGGGTGGAGTAGTTGCAACATAAATATGTATGTAGGACCAAATTAAACTACATTTTTTTAAACAAATATTCCCTCCGTCCCTGAATATTTGTCTCCTTTTAACTTTTTTTGGTCAAAATGGGTAAATTTTGATATCAAATTAAACAAAAATGATATTAGATATTGATACAAAATGAGTTTTATTAGATTTATTGTATCAAGTATTTTTAAAATATTACTTTATTTGATTAAAATACAATATATATTTTACTTAATTATAGGTCAAAGGTTGAAAACATTTGACCGAAGAAAGTCAAAACTAAACAGATACTCAGGGACGGAGGTTGTAATAAATTTGACATTATTTATTTTACAGACACGTAATCATTATCTAAATTACACAAATAGTCATTGTCTGTACATATTTGTGAAACACACCACCACAACTTTACTGTTAATTTAAAGAGATTTACCCAAATACGAGCGATCCCATGCTTATTTTGTTTTATTTTATTTTTTATGAAACGGTTAATGAAAATGCATATGTGAATACAAATTATCAAAAGTCTAGAATAATTACTAGTGAGACAATATTTTAGAGACAAAGAATATATATACTTGTATGATTTTAATTTTTCAAAAATATTGATAAAATAAGAAACGAGAAACTCCTTTAGGGACAAAAAGTATAATATACTCCCCCAGCTTCAAAAACCTTTAGGGTCCGTTTGGTATAAGGAATTGGAATTGAATTCAAAAATTGAATTCACCAATTCCAATTCATTTTTTTGCACTATCAATTCTAAATCCACATAATTTTGTGCTACCAAAGTACCAAACACCAAAATTGAAATTGAAGTCCTTAATTTCAATTCTATAGTTTGAATTCCGTGTACCAAACGAGGCCTTAATGTTTTGACTTTTTTCTTCAAACAATGACACTTTTTGACCACAAATTAAACATAATCTAAATAAATAAATGATAGAAAACTTTGATACGAAGTATATAAAAACTATATCATATGATGAATCCAATTACGTTAAATTTATATTACAATTAAATGTATATTTTTTACAGTTTATGATCAAAATATGTCACTGTTTGACAAAAAAGACAAAACAAAAAATATTTTTATGACTAGAGGGAGTATGTATTAGAGTGGACAAAGAAATCTGTATATGCATGGCATGTATATATTGGTGGTGGTCTATTCTCATTTTTTACGTGCAAAAGGGGCCACATCTCATTTATTGTTTTGTCCCTCTCCCAAATTAATATTTTGCAACTTCATTTACTGTACTATATTTAATATTTTCATTGTCCAAAATAAATTAAAAAGCTTACTTTAAACTTTTATAAGATACACCCTCTTCGTCCCAATATGGCATGTACCGTTTAGTTCGGCGTGGTTCAATGCCCACAAATGATTGGTATCCCTCCTAATTCTTCCGATAAATCTAAACCTCTTGTCCAGTTTTGACCCCTACTCATCTCCCCACATATGTCAATTGCATCTGCAAGTATAGTTGACTTTTTAATTTAAAATTTTGATATCAAAGTTAACTAAACTTGCAAGGTGCAAATGACGTAGGGGGGATGAATTGGGGGCGAGATCACGAGGGGTAAGAACAATTAATTTTTTCGAACCAAGCACAGTATGTGTCTGATTCAGGACAGTATCTACTGTGCCCACTGAAACCTAGTGGTCATAGAACTGGGCCGCATTTTAATATGTTCAAACTTTGGACGTGAAGTGAAATATATTCCCTCCGTCCAACAATAATTTTCCCATTACGCGTTACGATGTTTGACTGAAGTTATTTTCAAATCAGTTTATAAGAAAAATAGTATGGAATTAAAATAAAGATTAAATATTTAAAAATACATGAAAAGATAGTAGAAAACTAGATGCATGACTGTATTGCTCTATCAAATAGACATTGAAAATAGGCTGACAAAGTGAATAAAATTTAAACTTGTAAATAATGAATGAGAATATTATTTCTAGACGCAGGGAGTACTCAATTTCTTCTGTTTTTACTTTTTAGTGATCACTAATTAGGATTGTGATAGTATAAATAAAAATAAATGGCTAGAATATTTGTTCGGTTTGATACTTTTAAATAATTTTAGACAAACTTTGACCACAAATTAAATAAATACAGTATAAAATTACAAATAAACACATTAATATAATTTTAAATATATTTTTTGCATAGTAAATATACATTTTATTTAATTAGTGATAAATAATCATTAGCATGACTGTAAAATGTCAAACTAGTAGTAGAATATTTTGAGACATAAGTAGTGTTAACTTTATGTGAATTGATTAGCTAGAAAATATAGTTGGACGACAAATAATAAATATTAGTTTTTACAGTAATCGCCACTATATATAGACACCACCAAGGTTCCCATGACATTGGGTTCCAATGTCATTGTGGGGTGCAATTGACGGGGATAGGGAGTGTTCGGGTTGGGGCGGGATAGGAGGGTTTACCGGGAGGTTAAGGGAGTAGGAACCGTCAATCTTACGAACGGAGCACCGGAACGCCCCCAGATCATCCCATGACATTGGAACCCAATGTCATGCATGGGAACCCCACCCATATAGACACACAGATATAGCAGGTAGGAAATTGACCATACCTGGAATTTGTGAGGCTAAATGCAGGGCACTATATGAAATGAAAGTGACCAGATAGGAAAGTGACCAACATATAAAAATATACGGCACCTAATGCACATGTTAAACCTTACCCTGTTTTTAATCAGTTAATAAACTACTCCCGGGTCCAACGGAACACCCCCGATGTCATACTATGACACACACACACACACCCAAAACTAGTTAATAATCTTAATTGATTTAACAATTACGGAGTATAAAATAAAATAACAAATGCAAATAAAGAAGTTTGTTAAGGCCCCGTTTGGTACACGGAATTCAAACTATGGAATTGGAATTGAGGGCTTCAATTCCAATTCTCGTGTTTGGTAGCACAAAAATTATGTGGATTTGGAATTGATAGTGCAAAAAATGAATTGGAATTGGCAGAATTCAATTATATGGAATTGAATCTCATGGAATTTCAATTCCAATTCAATTCCAATTCCATCAATTCCGTATACCAAACGGACCCTAAATATGCTTTTTTTAGTACAAAGAATAGGGCATTGTTTGGTAGCCAATTTTGACTTACCAATGTATAAGTTAAATTTGGCTGAAATGGATGCCACTAAACACAGAGTGTATATCAGAAGAATCACTACAATTCATCCAAATAATGCCCTCAACAAACAAGCCCTAAGTTTATTCCAAGCCCGTGAATCCGTGATACGATGATAATAGTATATGGAGGTATAGCTTCCTTTCACGCAACAAGTAATGAGCTTTGCCGTGTTTTGAGTCACAATCTAGCAGACAGCAATTGTTGGTTTAGGAGTGGTCTAATGTATTCGTGATACCCGTCGGGCAGAACCGAGTCGTTTAATGGGTCTTTCCACGCTTCCTCGTACAGCTTCGGGTACACATTTCCATCATACCGTCCGAGAACCGACCCAAGGAAGTGGTCGGTGTAGTTGAACGCATCCACCAGTGCAATAGCATTAGGGCGTACCTGCATATACAAACCGCGGATCAGGGGAGGTAGAGGTCTACTACTACTACTACTACTATAACTACGACTCCTCGAGCTTGTTCTTTTAGAATTAATTTTAAAAGGAGTATGATATCTAATAACATATGTTAGATGCAATAGTAATTTTCAGAGATAAGAGTCTGAAAACTGGATTCTTGGGGAGGGAGAGGGAGAGGGAGAGAGAGAGAGAGAGAATATGTCTAACACCAACTCAACCAAAAGCTCAAGCTTGTGGTTGTGGTCTAGAAAATGTTTTTATATTCTAACACGTCCCCTTACGTGCAAGCAAGAATGGTTTTTTGCTCTAGCCTTGCACGTGAACATTAATTTTTTTAAAACTGGGTGGTGCTGAAGTTCGAACTCGTGGCATCTTGGTCAACAAGACTTTGATACCATGTCAAGGAACCAACTCAACCAAAAGCTCAAATACGATGACAGAATAAGAGGCGTACTACTACTAAAGCTATGAGCATGTTCTTTTAGCTTTAGCTTTAACTTTAACTAAATTCTCGAATGCAATAATAATTTTAACACTATGTTTGGTTCAAGGAATTTAAAAAGGAAAAGAAGATGAGATGGAGCGTACATGCATGACTAGAAGGGGAATTATATTAGATGTGGACAAACCTGGGTGTACAAAGATCTTAGCTGATCATTAGCAAGTGAGGCTTGCTGTGGGGTAATGTAGTTGGTGGAAAGGAAGTCTCCTTGGTGTTTATGTAGGAGAAATAGAGAGTAGATGCCGCAAAGTGCCTCCAGCTGCTCCCTCACCCCTTTTCCCGGGATGTCTTGCTGCAATTTCTCCAAAAACCTGAACGACATATATTGAATGGTTGTTGAAGATTTTGACTCAGGGGCTGTTTGTTTCAGCCTCTTAATGGTTCAGATGTCTGAATGATTCAGCACTTAATGGTTCAGACTGTTTGTTTCAGCCTCTTAATGGTTCAGATGTCTGAATGATTAAGAGATTTGCCTCTGAATGGTTAAGTATTATACAGAGTCTGAATGGTTAAGAGCTCTTATCTGAATTGATCAGACATTTGCCTCTGAATAGTTAAACAATATACTAGCTCTTAATGGTTCAGACCTCTTACTGGTTCAGCACTTAATGGTTCAGACCTCTTACTGGTTCAGCACTTACCCATTCAGAAGTTACCAA